ATTCGGACGATCACTCGGGGATTGCCTATAAGAAACGGTCGAGTGCAGTACTTACTACCGGCCTTTACTATCTCAATCTTGGACCTTCGAATAATCATTGAATGCTAAGGCACTTTTGACCTTGGTATAAGTTAATAAAAAGGCAAAAGATTCGGAAGCCATAAAAGGGAAAAGGTTTATATACAAATCTTTTACAAAGGCAACTTGGCCCAAATGAAGTTCTTTACAAAGGACGAAAGCAGCCTCAAAAGAAATAACAACAACTACCTAACATCCTAAATGGCTTGGTCTTCATCGGAGGTCGTATCCTTGGCATCTTCCCCATTTTCGGATTCGCTCGAGCTATCGGAGTCTTCCTCGGGAAGGCCAGCCTTCGAGCCTTGTTTTCCTCCGCCTTGGCAATTTTAATCTCGGCCCTAACATCGAAGCCTTAAGCACTGACCTCCTCGACCATTTAGCGTGCTCGACCATGCTCTTGGCTTTGGCTTGGTTGACCTCAACATCGATCCTGAACTAGGCCTTTTTAGCATCAGCTCTTTTATTGGCCTTGATCACCTCAGATCTAGCCACTTCAAGTTCATCAGCCAAGCTTGCTTAATCAGAAATAGCCAAATCTAACTGATGTTGAAGCTCATTCATCCTTTCGATCAACCCCAAGGCATTTTCTTTCGCAGATCGAAGTTAGGCCTCCGACAACTCCAACTGAGCTTGAACGGCTTCCTTTTTTTAGGCAAGGATATCCATATTCTTTTTAAATTCTTCCGCCTCGGCTAGTAGCCCATCTACCTATGAGTTGAGCCGTCCGATCTACTCGATCCTCTGCCGAACCTGCAGAATCGGATCGTTAGTGGTTATCTCCAATTCATCTTCACTATCATGGAAAATTCGGAATACCTGCTCAGCTATCTCCTCGTGCTCTTCCCGAGTTGCTGTTAAATATGCTCGAAGTTTCTCACTACGAAGCTTGTAAGAGTCACTTTTCTTAGTGAGGTTCCGAACCTCAGCCTCGTGCGCCTCTCGGATTCGGAAGAAGGCCTTGTGATGCAGCACTGAAGCCTACAAACATAGGGAAAATGATAGAATTAACTACATATCTAAATGTAAAGAAGAAACAACAAATATGCCATCAAAGTTACCCAATTCAGAGCATGCTGGGCCTCGTTGAAAAGGCAGGTGGGTCATACCGCATTCATCACTGATTGATCCTCTTCGGTTACCAAGGAACGAAGGTAACTGGCAACCCCCACGGGGGAAGAAAAAATTTGGGTATCTTCCGGGACGGAGAGCACTACCCTCCGCCTATGATCGGGATCAATACTCGGGGCCGGGAATCGGTCCACCAGTTTCGGGACTGATGAATACCCGGCGAAGCCCGACCATGATGCTTTCTTTGGTATCCGTAATCCATCAAACCTGATAACTTCCTTCGAGGCAACTGACTCGATCCCATCCAGAAAACCGTGGATATCGGTCGGCTCCTGAATGCCCTTGTAGGATCGGCCTTCCTACATGCTGGCCTCACGGATCATAGCATCTGATATCTGAGGGGATCCAGTAATATCGACTATCCATAGCTCGTCCCTCGAGATATCTTCTGCCCGAGATATCCTGCCCTCAGTATCTCCCTCGACCATCTCAGCTCGAGATCGAATATTCTCGGTTTTCCCTTGTTCGGGAATCACGGCCAGAACTCTCTTGTTAACCTCCGCCGATTCGGAGGATTGTTGTATCACAACATTGGCCCGCACACGGGCTAACTCCTCTTTTTATTCTTCGGGCTCGTCCCTTAATTGGCGGATCGAGTTCAAAGTATGATATTGGAGCCCCCCTTGGGTGTGCGAGTTCTCTTCACCAGTTTTTTTTGTCCGAGATCGGGGGACTCGGTGCATCTTTTCTTTTCCTCTCTTTAACCTGCTTCGGGGCGGGGACCTCTTCATCACCATACGGGGGCCTCATAACAATATCTTTCCCCAGTCCTACAAAGGAACAAAGGAGGGTAAGTAAGTGAAGAAGATTGAGCTACAAACAAACTGAGAAAAAGACTTACCATGACTACGGGCCTCCCATCGACCCTTTGATAGTTCCACCCAAGCACGCTCAGAATACGGTCTCTGCAGCACGAGACCTTCAACCCATTGTTTAAGGTTCGGGATCGGTTCCAGCATCTGAGCCACAACTGCAACAGAAAAGAAAGAGTGGATCAAGAAAATTAAAGGCGGTCCCAAATTAAAATGCTCGAAAGGAAGCAAATACTCACGGCTCATATTCCATTTCTCAGGAAACGGCATGTCGGTGGCAGAAATCAGGTCCGGGGTTTTGACTTGAACAAACAGGCCCATCCAACCTCGATCAAGAGTTTCATCTATACTCGAGAACGACGCTTTAGTGGCTCGGCGAGCTAGCTTGATCAGCCCTCCTCGATAGAGTCGGGGACTATAAAGGCGCATAAGGTGATCGGGGGTGAAAAGACACCCCTCGATTTTGCTTGAGAAGAATCGAAGAAGAAACACTATTCTCCAAAACGAAGGATGAATTTGGCCAAGGGTCACGTCGTATCTTTTACAAAAAGCGACGATGTCGGGATCTAATGGACCCAACGCGAAAGGATAAGTATAGACACTTAAGAACCCTTCCACGTGGGTAGTAATTGATTCTTCGAGAGATGGAACTACCACGTGCTTGTCGCCCCAGTTGCATTCCTTTTTTACCTTTTCGAGAATTTTCTTGGTGATAGAATACTGGTACCTCGAGATCGGCTCACATCGGCCCTGTACTAAAGAAGGTTTTTCAACTTTGAAATCAATGACAGTCGAGCACCCTAACGGAACGAACTCCTCGGGGCGGGGCTCCGTCACATCCTCGCTGCCGGTAGGCCGCGATGAAGAAACAACCTCTTTTTGCGGCACCGTTTTGGAGGTTTTCGCCATTGATAAATAAAGGAAAGAGAATTGAACTTGTTTGTGATATAAAGTATATAAAGCAGAGGGACTTTTTGAAGAAGATACAAGAGCAGAAGAAAAACTTTTGGGTAAAAAGTTTGGATGTGGATAAAAGTTTGAATATTTATAAGCCTGATAATGACGGTTCAAAATCAGCAGTGGTCGGCCATCGTCTGACGCACATTTAATGCCTTGATAACTGAACCGACGGAATATTTATCACGTATATCATGGTCGGGCTTGATGCAAATGTCAGTGTATATCTAGTCATATCGTTAGAAAATCATGTCGTTTCTCGTCACATTCTTCCCGAGAAACGAGGGGACTATCTATATACGGTCAAAACCGGTTTTGCCCTTCGTGTAATTAGTCAAGATGGAACATGATGGACCAATAGTCGTCTTCATAATATCGAGATGAGATCCGAAGCCAGGTTATCAAACTCAAGATTCAGGGAACGATCATTACCGAGCTCAAAGTCAATATCGAGCTCGATTCAACACCAAGCTCGAAGTCAATATCGAGCTCGAGTCAATACCGAGCCCGAGTCAATACCGAGCCCGAGTCGATATCGAGTTTGAGTCAAATACCGAGGCTGAGTCAATATCGAGCTCGAGACCCGGAGATCGATCAATATCAAGACCAACCAAGATCGAGCTATGAGACAAAGAGTCGTTGTAGCCGCACTGAGGGAGAGGATCTTGGCGAAAATTAAGGAAAAGCTAATTAAATAATCTATCATGGGATCTCCACTATGTATTTTTTATTATATCCAAAGCATGATTTTTCCACTATATTAGGAGTGGGCATCATTTTTTGTAAGGGAGATGGAAACATCTAGAGAAGAAAACATTGATACATTCACATTCTAAAGATTATTACATTGATATATAGTTGAGATTATCCTTTTTGAGTTTGCACATTGATTCATCTTGCTTGTTTGTAAATCATTCTCTACTC